TATACTCTCATTAGCCCATCTGTCCTCCAACAGTTGTTTATATCTTAACCTTAACTGCCTCCTCCTCTAGTTTATAAACCTTCACCTCTCTCTTACTTGCTGCTTCCATTTTCCTTGTATCCCATCTACCTTTTACTCTCACTGTAGGTACAACTAAAAAGTGATCTGATATATCTGTGTCCCCTTTATAAACATGTACATCCTAAAGTCTACCTAACAGTCTTTTATCTACCAATATATAGTCCAACAAACTACTGTCATAATGCCCTCTATCATGTTTACTTATTTATACTATTTTTCTTAAATATGATATGATAGATAAATAAATAACTATCACTTCTACTTTGTAAAAACCTCTCATATGCTAACTTTTTCTCCTTTACTACTCTCTTTACATTGTCATTCCACCAATCACTCTTCTTCCCTCCCACACCCACTTTCCTGTAACCACAAACTTCTGCTGAACACTCTAACACTACATTCTTAAACCTACCCCATACATTTTCGACCCCATTGCCTATACTCTCACTAGCCCATCTATCCTCCAATAGTTGCTTATATCTTACCCTAACTGCCTCCTCTTTTAGTTTAAACACCTTCACCTCTCTCTTACTTGCTGCTTCTATTTTCCTTATGTCTCATCTACCTTTTACTCTCACTGTAGCTACAACTAAAAAGTGATCTGGTATATATGTGGCCCCTCTATAGACATGTACATCCTGAAGTCTACTCAACAGTCTTTTATCTATCAATACATTGTCCAACAAACTACTGTCATTATGCCCTACATCATATCTTGTATACTTATTTATCCTCTTTTTCTTAAAATACATATTACTTATAACTAAACCCCTTTCTATACAAAGTTCATTCGAAGGGCTCCCATTATCATTTACACCTGGCATCCCAAACTTACCTACCACACCCTCTCTAAATATTTATCCTACTTGAGCATTTAGGTCCCCTACCACAATTACTCTCACACTTGGTTCAGAGGTTGCTATACATTTGTTTAACATCTCCCAAAATCTCTCTCCTCTACACTCCTCTCTTCTCCAGGTTCATACACGCTTATGATGACCCACTTTTCACATCCGACCCTTATTTTAATCCACATAATCCTTGAATTTACACATTTATATTCCCTCTTCTCCTTCCATAACTGGTCCTTCAACATTATTGCTACCCCTTCCTTAGCTCTAACTCTCTCAGATACTCATGACTTATTCCCATTTATTTCTCCCCACTGAAACTCGCCTACCCCCCTTCAGCTTTGTTTCGCTTAGGGCCAGTACATCCAACTTCTTTTCATTCATAACATCAGCAATCATCTCTTTCTTATCATCCGCACTACATCCACGCACATTCAAGCATTTCAGTTTTATAAAGTCTATCTTATCATTTTTAGTAAATGTGTACAGGAAAAGGGGTTACTAGCCTATTGTTTCCGGCATTTTAGTCGCCTCACACAACACGCATGGCTGACAGAGGAAAGATTCTTTACCACTTCCCCGTGGACAATAGAGAAAGAAAAACAAGAACAAGAGCTGTTAAGAAAAAGAAGAAAAACCCTAGATGTGTGTATGTATATGCAGTATGTGCATGTGCATGCCTGTGTAGTGTGACCTAAGTGTAAGTAGAAGTAGCAAGATATACCTGTTATCCAGCATGTTTATGAGACAGAAAAAAGACACCAGCAATCCTACCATCATGTAAAACAGTTACAGGTTTCTGTTTCACAGTCACCTGGCAGGACGGTAGTACCTCCCTGGGTGGTTGCTGTCTGCCAATCTACTACCTTTGATTAATTGTATTTACATTAATTCTAATGGGAAATATTACTTCGGTTTTTGACCTTTTCAGATTTAGGCCTACCTTCTGGAATGGATTTCATCTGAAATCCAGGGTTCCACTGTACATATATGAAAATACACCTCAAAGTCAGCGTTTTAACCCTTTCAGGGTCGAGAGGCCCTCTCCTGAACTTGTTCTCAGGGTCGAAAATTTTTCAGAAAAAAAATTATTTTTTCTTGTGAAATGATAGAGAATCTTTTCCTGATAATAATGACACCAAAAGTATGAAATTTGATGGATAACTTACGTAATTATGCTCTCACGAAGTTAGCGGTCTCAACGGTGTTTACGCATCAGCGATTTCGCCCACTTTGAGCCCTATTTTCAGCCAATTCCAGTGTACTAGTTGACAAAAATCATAATTATTTCACTAGAACTCCATTTGTTCTATCGAATGAGTACAAGAAACCACCCATTTACTGATTTCAACTATCCAATAAAGTGGTCAGAAATTGGCAATTTTTCCAATTTCACACAAATTTTTAAACTTGCCAATTTCAAAATAGGGTCCAGAATTAACAAGACGGACATTCCTAGCACTAAAATAACATTTCCTCTGTTCATTAGTCATGTCCCCAGGCCCCTCTTACATTTCTTTTGCTTTCCACTTTGAATTTTTATTCTCACAAAAAATAGAAGATTTACTGTTATGCAGAGTACTGCATCAGTGTAGAAATGGTATAAATAATATCAGTGCACTTGTGAAAGATTAGACTCACCAGTTGACGTGTATTGAACACATAGCATGATTTGTTTACTTTTGAACTTTGGCAAAAATCGAACATTTCTGCTACTTTGAGCTCAATTTCAAGATACTTTTCATTGTGAAACCAATCAAAATCATCTCAATTTCTGTACTGTCTTCCATTCTATAAAATGAGACCAGGAAAACTAGAATACAACCATAAATACCATACGAAAATACAGTGCATTCGCTGTTTTAAACCAAAAACACGGTCTAAGTTTTTTTTTCTCATTATGCACTGTGTGCTGCAGGATTTTTTTTATACTGTGCACACTGACCACATAGACCCATTCTTTCATATGTAGGCCTACCAGCTTTCTCTCGCTAGATTTGAAGGCACTAGAATTTATGCGTACTAGTATGTCAATAACCCTGGTGCGTAAAACGTACTAGTACACTGGAAACCCTGAAAGGATTAAACCAAAAACACAGTCAGAGTTTTTTTTCTCATTATGCACTGCATGCTGCAGGATTTTCTTTATACTGCGCACACTGACTGCACAGACCCATTCTCTCACATGTAGGTCTACTAGCTTTCTCCCGCTAGATTTGAAGCCACTAGAATTTTGGTGTATTAATGTCACTGACACTGGCTTGAAAGCTGTACCTTTACGTCACCGACAGTAAAAGGGTTAATATATCAGGCAACTAACTGTCCTGGTGTTGTTTCTCTTCTTTGTCTCTTTTCACCACTAATGCCTTGTTTTGGCTCATTGTTTCTCTGTGTAAATTGAGACATTACACTGTCATTGTACATGTTAAGGAGACTGATGGTCACTGCTTTGTCTGGGTGGTATTTTTCAGCAAACTCCTGCACTTCACGCCATTTAGCACACATTTCCTTGACAATTGCAATGGGCACGTCATCCCTTTCCACCTCTTCCTCTGATGACAGCTCCTCTGCAGCAGTCTGTTGCTGCTCCTTCTGAAGGTCTACAAGTTCTTCTGCGTCAGTTCAATTCTGTGCTCCTCCACCAACTCCTCGACATCATCTTCAGTCACCTCTAGGCCCAAGGTCTTCCCCAGGGACACAATATCCTCTACCACATCAGGCTCATCTTCAAAACCTTCAAAATCCCTGGCTGCCACATAGTCAGACCCCAATTTCTTCCATATTGACTGCATGGTCCTGGAAGACATTCCCCCAGGCTTTGTCTATAAGCCTCAAGCAGGTGAGGATATTGAAATGGTCCTTCCAGAATTCTCTGAGGGTTAAATTTGTTTTTGAAGTGATTTCAAAGCTTCTTTTTAAGAAGTGCTTTGGTGTAGAGTTTCTTGAAGTTAGAAATGACCTGCTGGTCCATGGGCTGGATGGGAGGAGTGGTGTTAGGAGGCAAGAACTTCATAGTTATAAAACTGAACTCCTCCAGCAGTTCGTTTTCCAAGCTTGGAGGGTAAGCAGGAGCATTATCCGCTAGTAGAAGGGCCCTGAGTGGCAGTTGTTTTTTAGTGAGGTACTTTGTGACAGTGGGAGCAAAGACCTCATGAACCCACTTGATAAAAAATTGTTACCCAAGCTTTTGTGTTGGCCCTTCACATTACAGCCAATTTGTTTTCATACCATTGTCCTTCCTAAAAACTTGTGGTTTTTCAGAATGATAAATAGGTAAGGGTTTCAATTTCAAATCCCCCATGCTGTCTACTCATTGTCCAGTGCGCATTCTGTGAGCATGTGGGCCAAGCCATTCGCATTGTCGGTCAACAACCAAGAGAATGTACGAAAACCAGGACATTTTTTCTCTCGAATTCCTTATTAGAAAACCAATTTGTTTGACAAGTAATGCAGTCAACAACTGAGATTCCACTGTATTTTATTATGTTAGTTGATGACATTCTGAAATACAATTTTTTGTATTATACAAGTTCATGATATAATTTTTTTTATTATTATGCTGGTTGATGACATACAGCAATAGTGTTTTACGTTATTCAGGTTGATGAAGTACTCCAGTAGTGCTTTATATTATGCTTTATTGATGATGCACAGTAATTCACTGGAACTCCTAAATTTATGGGCTTCCTAATTAGCACATTTTCATCATTCAGCCAAAGGTCCTTATGCAGATAACTGTGTTGATTCCCAGTTTTTTTTTTTTAACTGACCATAGGATGTTGTTCAAAATATATTCATTGGAAGGCCAACTCCCTTACCTCTTTTTTCTGAACTCATATTCACGTGAATGCTAGAATTAACAAGATTAAAGTGACATTTAATTGAGATATAATCTGTGAGCCACAAAATGAGTCCAGATCCGAAACAGAATTATGTGGGTGTAATTTAGGTTTGTTCATGGATTCTAGAGTCGTGTAACCCCACACACAGTTCCAATTTGACCCCGTGCTAATACTGTATTGCATATACTATATTTGTAGTGTCTGAAAGTTAAAATTTGACTTTCAGGAGTTATCAGAGCTGAAGCATGCCCACTCTAAGCTTAAGAAAGTTCTAGCAGACAAATCTGTTGAACTACTGCACTGTTCTCGACGGGCTGATCAGTATGAAAGCGAAGTGAAGAGGCTGAGGGCTCGGGTAGATGAACTGAAGAAGGAACTCGCAGCTGCTGAAGATGAAGTTGATGGTGCTTCAAACAATATTAGGTAATATCCTATCCTGCTAGAGAGGATGGAGCAAAATAAGATAACTTGGAGGGTCTATAAATCTGTTGTGGTGGGAAGGCAGAGTATGGGTTGTTCCAGGAAATGTTGGAGGGAGGGGAAGTAAAGGAGGTTTTGTATGTAAGTAGTTTGAACATCCAGCAGGTGTGTGTGAGCATGTTAGATAGGAGTGGAGGCAATTGGTCTTTATGACTTGACATACTGCTGGAGTGTAAGCAAGGTGACATTTATGAAGGAATTCAGGCAAACAGTTTAGCCAGACTTGAGTCCTGCAGGCAGGAAGTATATTGCCTGTGCTCTGAAGGATGGGTACAAATATTGAAGTTTGGAGGGTTATCTGAACTGTAGTATTAACGTGCCTCTGTCAAGACAGTGATAGCGTGAATGATGGTGAGAGTGTTTCTTTTTCAGGTCACCCTACCTCCTATTTTGTATTTTGCTCCATTGTCTTTAAATGTCCAGATCACCTCAGAGACCCCTCCTCAGCCTTCTGGATAATACTTTGAGTAATTTCACATCTCCGAATCTTCAAGCCACGAATTCTCTGCATAATAATTACACCACACATTGCCCTCAGACATGACATCGCTGCCTCCAGCCTCCTAACTGCAACGTTTACAACCCATGCTTCACACCCATATAAGAGTGTTGGTACCATTATACACTCACCATCTGACTTATGACCTGCGCTACATACGACCACTTGACTTATGACCGTGCGTCTGGCAGCAGTGTATAAGTGGATGATGGGCATAAACAAAGGTGATATTAATAAAGTACTGAGATTGTCGAAACCAGGTAAGAACCAGAAGTAATGGATTTAAGTAGAATAAATTGAGATTTAGAAAGGACATAGGTAAGTACTGGTTTTCTAACAGAGTTGTGGATGCGTGGAACAATCTTCTGAGTAGGGTGATCGAGGCTAGGACTTTGGGTAGCTTTCAAAAGAGATTGGATAAATATATGAGTGGGAGGGGCTGGGTTTGATTGATGTCGTGTGTACATGACTAAATTCTTGGCTAGCTTTGGGTAGGGGTAGTTTTGATAAGGACCTGCCTTGTATGGGCCAGTAGGCCTTCTGCAATGTTCCTCCATTCATATGTTCTTATAATGTGATCCTTTATAGACAACATTTTGCCCACACAAGTAGAGGTGGTGGTAGTTGTACATGTGGTGGAAAAGTCAGCTGGTACATGACAAAGAAAGGTTACAAAACTTATGGCTTGGGTAGCATAAAAAAATAAGTTGGGCAAATGTATATGGATGGATGGATTTGAGAAGGCATGCCCAGTTTGGGCCAACAGGCCTGCCGCAGTGTTCCTCATTTATTTTTTATTTATTATCACACCGGCCGATTCCCACCAAGGCAGGGTGGCCCGAAAAAGAAAAACTTTCACCATCATTCACTCCATCACTGTCTTGCCAGAAGGGTGCTTTACACTACAGTTTTTAAACTGCAACATTAACACCCCTCCTTCAGAGTGCAGGCACTGTACTTCCCATCTCCAGGACTCAAGTCCGGCCTGCCGGTTTCCCTGAATCCCTTCATAAATGTTACTTTGCTCACACTCCAACAGCACGTCAAGTATTAAAAACCATTTGTCTCCATTCACTCCTATCAAACACGCTCACGCATGCCTGCTGGAAGTCCAAGCCCCTCGCACACAAACCTCCTTTACCCCCTCCCTCCAACCCTTCCTAGGCCGACCCCTACCCCGCCTTCCTTCCACTACAGACTGATACACTCTTGAAGTCATTCTGTTTCGCTCCATTCTCTCTACATGTCCGAACCACCTCAACAACCCTTCCTCAGCCCTCTGGACAACAGTTTTGGTAATCCCGCACCTCCTCCTAACTTCCAAACTACGAATTCTCTGCATTATATTCACACCACACATTGCCCTCAGACATGACATCTCCACTGCCTCCAGCCTTCTCCTCGCTGCAACATTCATCACCCACGCTTCACACCCATATAAGAGCGTTGGTAAAACTATACTCTCATACATTCCCCTCTTTGCCTCCAAGGACAAAGTTCTTTGTCTCCACAGACTCCTAAGTGCACCACTCACTCTTTTTCCCTCATCAATTCTATGATTCACCTCATCTTTCATAGACCCATCTGCTGACACGTCCACTCCCAAATATCTGAATACGTTCACCTCCTCCATACTCTCTCCCTCCAATCTGATATTCAATCTTTCATCACCTAATCTTTTTGTTATCCTCATAACCTTACTCTTTCCTGTATTCACCTTTAATTTTCTTCTTTTGCACACCCTACCAATTCATCCACCAATCTCTGCAACTTCTCTTCAGAATCTCCCAAGAGCACAGTGTCATCAGCAAAGAGCAGCTGTGACAACTCCCACTTTGTGTGTGATTCTTTATCTTTTAACTCCACGCCTCTTGCCAAGACCCTCGCATTTACTTCTCTTACAACCCCATCTATAAATATATTAAACAACCACGGTGACATCACACATCCTTGTCTAAGGCCTACTTTTACTGGGAAAAAATTTCCCTCTTTCCTACATACTCTAACTTGAGCCTCACTATCCTCGTAAAAACTCTTCACTGCTTTCAGTAACCTACCTCCTACACCATACACTTGCAACATCTGCCTCATTTATGTTCTTATGTAATAGAGAAGAGACACTGAAACATGCCTTCTCAAATTCATCCATATACATTTGCCCAACCTATTTTTTATACAATGGACCCTCTTTCTTTTTTTTCTCTTAACACACCAGCCGTATCCCACCAAGGCAGGGTGGCCCAAAAAGAAAAACGAAAGTTTCTCTTTTTAAATTTAGTAATTTATACAGGAGGAGGAGTTACTAGCCCCTTGCTCCCGGCATTTTAGTCGCCTCTTACAACACGCATGGCTTATGGAGGAAGAATTCTGTTCCACTTCCCCATGGAGATAAGAGGAAATAGACAAGAACAAGAACTAGAAAGAAAATAGAAGAAAACCCAGAGGGGTGTGTATATATATGCTTGTACATGTATGTGTAGTAATTTATACAGGAGAAGGGGTTACTAGCCCCTTGCTCCCGGCATTTTAGTCGCCTCTTACAACACGCATGCCTTACGGAGGAAGAATTCTGTTCCACTTCCCCATGGAGATAAGAGGAAATAGACAAGAACAAGAACTAGAAAGAAAATAGAAGAAAACCCAGAGGGGTGTGTATATATATGCTTGTATATGGGAAGTACAATGCCTGCACTTTAAAGGAGGGGTTTGGGATATTGGCAGTTTGGAGGGATATGTTGTGTATCTTTATATGTGTATACTTCTAGACTGTTGTATTCTGAGCACCTCTGCAAAAACAGTGATAATGTGCGAGTGTGGTGAAAGTGTTGAATGATGATGAAAGTATTTTCTTTTTGGGGATTTTCTTTCTTTTTTGGGTCACCCTGCCTCGGTGGGAGACGGTCGACTTGTTGAAAAAAAAAAAAAACATGTATGTGTAGTGTGACCTAAGTGTAAGTAGAAGTAGCAAGATGCACCTGAAACCTTGCATGTTTATGAGACAGAAAAATGGACACCAGCAATCCTTCCATCATGTAAAACAATTACAGGCTTTCGTTTTACACTCACTTGGCAGGACGGTAGTACCTCCCTGGGCGGTTGCTGTCTACCAACCTACTACCTAGGAGTGGACCCTCGTTTTTTGTAATTAATCCATTCCAAAAAGTGTGACTATTTCCGAAATTGACGATTTGCGAAACCATTTTCCCCATGAGAAATAATGTAAATACAATTAATCCATTCCAGACACCCGGAAGTATTAAAACAAAAATTTTTTTTACATGAAATATAGATGTACATACACAGTACAATGAGACATGATGAATGAAACATTAACAGCATAACACTTACCTTTATTGGTGATTCTTCTTAGTGTATGGAAGACTGGAGGAGGAGAGAGAGATTGGATTATTTACTGTTTGGAAGGGGAATCCCCTTCCATCAAGACTTGAGAGTCACTGGAGTCTTGTCTCTCAAAAAAGTGTCCAGAGATCTCTGTTTCTGGCATCTCTTTAAAACTTCCCTAAAATGGGCCAAGACTTTGTCACTGTACAAGTGGCCAATATGGCTTGCAACAGCCTTGTCAGGGTGATGTTTCTCCATAAATCTTTCCATCTTACTCCACATTAAAGCCCTTGTGGCTTAGCACTTCTTTTTGATTATAATAATAATAATCTTACTCCACATTTCAAAAATCTCCTTAATTTCTGAAGAAGGCAACTTCTTCCATCTCTCTTCCTCCTCCTCTAAAGCAATATTCTGAGCTGCAGTCTGTTGCTGTTCCAGCTGAAGCTCTTGCAGCTCCACAGTGGTTAGCTCTTCGTTGTGGTCCTCCACCAACTCTTCCACATCCTCAAAACTCACATCCAACCCCATGGAACTCCCCAGTGCCACAACAGATTCCACAACTGCCATAGGCTTGTCAGGGTCAACCCCAAACCCTTCAAAATCCCTCTTGTGGACACAATCTCGCCACAATTTTCTCTAAGCAGAGTTCAAAGTCCTGGCAGTCACTCCCTCCCAAGCCTTACCTATAAGGCTTATGCAATGGAGGATACTGAAGTGATCTTTCCAAAACTCTTAGGGTCAAGTGAGTGTCTGAGGTCACATTAAAGCACCTTTGAAACATTGCTTTGGTGTAGAGTTTTTTAAAGTTTGAAATTATCTTCTGGTCCATGGGCTGGAGGAGAGGAGTGGTATTAGGGGGCAAGAACTTTAATATGATGAACCCAAACTCCTCCAGAATTAGGTCATCCAAGTTTGGAGGATGAGCAGGTGCATTGTCCATTAGGAGGAGGCATTTTATTATCCAGGAGGTAATTCTTCACACTAGGGCCAAACACTTCATTGAACCACTCGAGGAAAAATTTCCCTCATGACCCATGCCTTATTATTAGCTCTCCAAAACACACACAATTTACTCTTCATGACATTGTTTTTCTTGAATGCTCTGGGATTTTCAGGATGGTACATTAGTAGCAGCTTCACTTTGAAATCCCCACTAGCATTACTACAAAACATGAGCATCCGCCTATCTTTCATAGGCTTGTGTCCTGGTAGTTCCTTTTCCTCCTGAGTAATATAGGTCCTCTTTGGCACTTTCTTCCAAAAGAGGCCTGTTTCGTCACAATTGAACACTTGTTGGGGTTTTAATTGTTCAGTCTGTACATACTCCTTGAATTCATTTACGAATTTGTAGCTGCAATTTTGTCCGAACTGGCAACCTCGCCATGCCTTATCACACTGTGTGTGTGACTACAGTTCTTAAATCTCTCAAACCAGCCTTTGCTGGCCTTAAATTCACAAATATCAGTACTCGTTGCAGGCAATTTCTTTACGAGATCATCATGCAACTGTCTAGCCTTTTCACAAATAAGCGACTGCATAAGACTATCTCCTGCTAATTGTTTCTTGTTGTTTGGGGTTTCTTATACATCCTGGCCAGTTCAGCTACATGTACGCCACTTTCATATTGTTCAATGATGCTTTTCTTGAATTCAGTCATATTTCTCACCTTCTGTACTGAAGGCATGGCACTAGCTTTCTTTGGAGCCATGGTAGCTTATTTAGCAGTTGCAAGCACTAAAATGAATGGAATATTATGAAATATTTCGTATGAATACGTGAGGGGACTGTCACTCACTGGTAAACAATGCCACACTGGCTGGGAAGGGAGTGTGAGGCGGCTCGAAGCCGTGAGTACGCGTCCGGGTCTTGTTATTCCCATGGGCTGCGACAGTGTGGTATTGGGGAGCAAACTTTCATATTTAACCCAAACTCCTTCTGAATAACTTCCTTTGGGTAGCGTTTTTCCTTAGACTCTTAGCAAATTTATGAAGTGATAGATGTACACTAGGGCCAAAAAAATTAAGCACTGAGGAAAAATTTCCCATCATGACCCATGCCTTGATTATGTTACTCACAAAATTTTTTACAATTTACTCTAATTTGATGTTCTTGAAGTTGGAATCTTTCAGGAAAGGATGTACATTAGTAGGAGGAGTTTTAAATGGAGACTTAACGGTATGGAAATGGAAGATATTTTGAGGAATTGTTAAAGTTGATTGAAGTTTGGAAGCTCGTGATTTGTAATAGGGCAATGGGGAATAACATTCTTGTAGGATGAGAAGAGCCTGTTTGAGTAGTGGGGAAGTTGTTGGGGTCAGTAGGTAAAATGAAAGGGTTAATCATGCCGGGATTGATGGGATAAAGATAGAATGTTAAAAGCAGGTGGGGTATAGTTTTGGAGTGGTTGGTGTGCAATATTTATAAATTATGGAAGAGGGTAGGTTACCTAGGATTGGCAGAGCATGCATAGTTCCTTTGTATAAAGGCAAAGGGGATAAAGAGAGTGCAAAAATTATAGGGGATAAGTCTGTTGATGTACCATGGTAAAGTGTATGGGGAGTTAAATGAAGAATTAAGAGTAGAGACGGAGAATGGATAGCAGATGAACAAGGAGGCTTTAGGAAAGGTAGGGGGTGTTGTGGACCAGGTGTTTACAGTGAAACATAAAGTGAACAGTATTTAATAAGGCTAAAGAGTCTTTGTGGCATTTATGGATTTGGAAAAGGCGTAATGACAGGGTGGATAGGGGGGCAATGTGGCAGATGTTGCAAGTGTATGGTGTAGGAGGTAGGTTACTGAAAGCAGTGAAGATTTTTACGAGGATAGTGAGGCTCAAGTTAGAGTATGTAGGAAAGAGGGAAATTTTTTTCCAGTAAAAGTAGGCCTTAGACAAGGATGTGTGATGTCCACCGTGGTTGTTTAATATATTTATAGATGGGGTTTGTAAGAGAAGTAAATGCGAGGGTCTTGGCAAGAGGCGTGGAGTTAAAAGATAAAGAATCACACACAAAGTTGGGAGTTGTCACAGCTGCTCTTTGCTGAAGACACTGTGCTCTTGGGAGATTCTGAAGAGAAGTTGCAGAGATGGTGGATGAATTTGGTAGGGTGTGCAAAGAAGAAAATTAAAGGTGAATACAGGAAAGAGTAAGGTTATGAGGATAACAAAAAGATTAGGTGATGAAAGATTGAATATCAGATTGGAGGGAGAGAGTATGGAGGAGGTGAACGTATTCAGATATTTGGGAGTGGACTTTGTCAGCGGATGGGTCTATGAAAGATGAGGTGAATCATAGAATTGATGAGGGAAAAAAGAGTGAGTGGTGCACTTAGGAGTCTGTGGAGACAAAGAACTTTGTCCTTGGAGGCAAAGAGGGGAATGTATGAGATATAGTTTTACCAACGCTCTTATATGGGTGTGAAGCGTGGGTGATGAATGTTGCAGCGAGGAGAAGGCTGGAGGCAGTGGAGATGTCATGTCTGAGAGCAATGTTGTGGTGTGAATATAATGCAGAGAATTCGTAGTTTGGAAGTTAGGAGGAGGTGCGGGATTACCAAAACTGTTGTCCAGAGGGCTGAGGAAGGGTTGTTGAGGTGGTTCGGACATGTAGAGAGAATGGAGCGAAACAGAATGACTTCAAGAGTATATCAGTCTGTAGTGGAAGGAAGGCGGGGTAGGGGTCGGCCTAGGAAGGGTTGGAGGGAGGGGGTAAAGGAGGTTTTGTGTGCGAGGGGCTTGGACTTCCAGCAGGCATGCGTGAGCGTGTTTGATAGGAGTGAATGGAGACAAATGGTTTTTAATACTTGACGTGCTGTTGGAGTGTGAGCAAAGTAACATTTATGAAGGGATTCAGGGAAACCGGCAGGCCGGACTTGAGTCCTGGAGATGGGAAGTACAGTGCCTGCACTCTGAAGGAGGGGTGTTAATGTTGCAGTTTAAAAACTGTAGTGTAAAGCACCCTTCTGGCAAGACAGTGATGGAGTGAATGATGGTGAAAGTTTTTCTTTTTCGGGCCACCCTGCCTTGGTGGGAATCGGCCGGTGTGATAATAAAAAAAAAAAAAAAAATAATATTTACTCCCTTTGCAACAACAGCTTCCTTGATTTCCTTTTTCTTGGCCACGATAGAAGCTATGGTTGTTTGGGGTTTCTTATACATCCTGGCCAGTTCAGCTACATGTACCCCACTTTCATATTCTTCAATGATGCTTTTCTTGAATTCAGTCATATTTCTCACCTTCTGTACTGAAGGCATGGCACTAGGGGCTTTCTTTGGAGCCATGGTAGCTTATTTAGCAGTTGCAAGTACTAAAATGAATGGAATATTATGAAATATTTCGTATGAATACGTGAGGGGACTGTCACTCACTGGTAAACAATGGCACACTGGCTGGGAAGGGAGTGTGAGGCGGCTCGAAGCCGTGAGTACGCGTCCGGGACGAATGACTATTTGCGAGTCAAACGACGATTCGCGAGTCAATGTTTTGACGAAAAAAATGTTATGATTTACGAAAATTACGACTTTCGAGTCTAACGAAATACGAGGGTCCACTGTACTATCCAAGCCATAGCTTTTGTAAACTTTCTTTCTCATGTACCAGCTGCAAATGTTCTCCGAAATAAACAACTGTGTTGAGCACAGTGTTTCTCCTAAACCTTACAGTATAAAATACAGTACTAACAGCATAAAGCATAAAGTAAAAAAGATATACAAAAATAATAAAATAAAATCATTACAACAACTGTGATGTTGATATACAGGAACCATCTCAATAGAAGTGCTGACACAAACGAGAGAGAGCAGCTGACAAATTGTTCTATTTTTACACTAATATCAACAATAAGGCTTGTTTGCCTATCACAATTGATCTATTATGATATAAGGTGAATATCATTAGCATAGAAGCATAAAAAATACACCAGAATAAATATTATCTACCATAATATGAAGGCCTGCTGCGCAGATAGGAAAGGGACTTTGTGGAAACCACCGACCATAAAACTTATTATCCCTTCTTTCTTCACTCTTATGGGAGAAAACGGATATAGCGCAAGGGCAAACTAATAGACACTCGTAACTTACAAAAACACTGATAAAAAAGGGATTTTTTCAGGAAAAAAAAAATATTCCTCGCATACTTGGGCATGCACATGCTTTCGGCTATTATCTCAGAAGTAAGTTATTCACCTATTTTGTGAAAACCAATCAATAATAATGAATGGATTGAAGTGATTTCCACAACAAACATGAAAGAATGATTGCTTCATAAGATTAAGATTTAATTTTTGAAGTATCCCTATTGGCAATTTTCTAAGGTTCAACTTACGTCCATTTTGACTTATGACAAGTTGGTTGGAACCAAGCTCGGTCATAAATCGGATGGTACCTGTACTCTCATACATTCCCCTCTTTGTCTCCATAGATAACATTCTTTGTCTCCACAGATGCCTCAATGCACCACCCACCTTTTTTTTCATCAGTTCTATGGTTCATTTTGCCTTTCATATACCCATCTGCCAACAAGTGCACTCCCAAATATCTGAACACAATCACTTCCTTCATACTCCCTACTTCCAATCTGATATCCAGTTTTTTATTACCTAACTTATTTGTTATCCTCATCACCTTGCCCTTTCCTATGCTCAGTTTGAATTTCCTTTACATACTCTCCCAAATTTGTCCACCAACTTTAGCAGCTTCTCTTCAGAATCTTCCAAAAAGCACATTGTTATCAGCAAAAAGCAGCTGTGACAACTCTCATTTTGTATTAGAATCCACGTATTTTAATCCCACACGTCATATGTTAATCAAATTTCAGAAAACTACAACGTGCTAACGATGAGCTTCAAGAAACCGTAGAAAACCTAGAAGTTCAGGTTGAACACCTCCAGTCCCGCCTACGGTCATCACAAAATTCATCCCTTCCTCTTCGAACTGCAACCCTTCTCCAAGACTCTGATGATGACCATGCTCAGTTCTAAGGTGCAAATCAATTTATTCATGCTTTCCTTCTTTTTGTGTTCATAAATTGAAGCCTACCAATTCTCCTCTTTGTTAAGATCAGTTGTAAAATGTAATGGACTTATGGAAAACTTTCTCTTCATCTACCTTGAATCTACCTATTTCATGTTACAAGTATTGCCAGGGCCTTGTTAGGAGTATAAAGTAGGCACCACAGGTAAGTTAGTCCCAGGTTAACAGTGTGATGTAAGTAACACAGCAGGTCAAGACTATGTTAACAGTCTTACAGAGAAACTAGAGTCAGAGCAAGGACTGGTTAAGAGTGTGGTTTAAGCCTTGCTGATCAGGGAATTTTTGCAGAAACTCATGAGGTTCTTTCTCTTGAAGGCATAATTCTGTGTGATTATTATGCATATAATTTAGAGCATCAAAATTAGAAAACTGAGTGGGATTATAAGAAATATAATTCAGAGAGCAAAGTTGTTGAGATGATTTTGGCATTTAGAGGGGTGGATTAGAATGGGGTAACTAAGAGGGAATTTTTATTTGGATTTTATTTTTATTATAAATCTAGGGTGGGAAAAGGGAGGGGGTCATCCCAAGAAAGGTTGGAGGATGGGAGGATAAAGGAGGTTTTGAGTGCTAGGGGCTTGAGCATCATCAGGCTTGTGTGAGTATGTTAGATCAGAATAAATGGAGACTAGTTGCTTTTGTTTCTTGGCATGCTTTTGGAATGTTAGCAGGATAACATGGATGAGGGGATTCAGGAAAACTAGTTAGCTGGCCTTGATTTTTGGAGGTAGGAAGTAGCTTGCACCCTGAAGGAAAGGGGAGGGGTGTTGAAGTTTGAAGGGTGATGACTGCACAATGCTGGCAAGACAGCTGACTAATTAGGTGCTTGATTAATTAGGTGCAAAGAGACAGTGATCTCTTGCTCATTTTCTAGATCTGCAGTTTTGCCAGCTTTAGACAAGGGTGTTTGTGTAGAGTAACATTCCATTCAGAAGAATACAAGTGCCTTAGGAGTATCATCATTGGCTTGACATCTCAATTTTAGAAGGGTCATGTTATCAAGTTATGATGCTCATAGGAGACTTAAATTTGCCACTGTATCTTAAGATTTGGTTACCCTGAATTATGAAATTAAAGCTTGACTGTTTTTTCACATTCATTGATTATTAGGGCCATTGTTATCTGTATTCAAATTTCTACTTGTATAAGTATTTTCAAGACATATTTGTTATATTGCAGGAGCCTCTGATGAATTAACTTCGTAATGATGTTTTATTCTTACGACGTAATACAGCCAAACAGCCTTAGTGAAGGCTGAGTCTGCTTGGAAACTCAGAAGTATTTGCATAGAGAAGATTTACAACTGAAGATTGTGATATTTTGAACATTTTGTATAGTGTATGTAAAGATTATTATGCAGCATGTGGGTCTGTATTTTAAGATTATGTTGCAAACAAATAAGTTATTTCTGTGATTATGGTAATAAAGGAAATCATTTCATATTAACAGTGGGTTTGAGTTGTACAATGAAATATCAAAATACAGTAGTGTGTGTTAAATTTTGTAGATGTCGTGTTGCATGTGTGTAAGTTGATAAATGACTTATTAACGCTTTCTCTGCTGTTTACAGTAATCTTCTGACATGAAGTGTGATAAACGTAAAGAGCTGGGTGTGACTAAATATTAGCCACCTGTGTTCTTGTTTTGTAAATACGTACTGTTATTTATAACAATCATCACAGCAAAGTCATAAGTAAAAATGGATTACCCTTGCTTTAAGTAGCTACATATTTCTAGTTTATTTTAACTCATGTCAGTCTTCAGCATGTTTTCTTAAGCAAAATATCAAAATTTTTACTTAAGTTTTCAACGCACATAAAATGTCACTTGACCTAACAGTTAACAATAATAATTCAGTTGTTACTCTTCTCCGACGGCTGAGTAGGTGCTCAATTCTGTGATGAGAAAAGGGAGTGTGTTGAACACTGCATTCAGAAATAAAAAATTGAGTGTGTTTCAAAAAAACGAGCTTTGAGCCACCAAGGCTACTGTAGAATATTAGTGTCTGTAATTATTGTCTGACAGCCTTCCATCATTTGTCTTCATACAAATATTTTTCACAAATATTTAGGTAGTGCAGTCAGTGCTGTATATTATTGCTTTCTGAAAATTTATGCATTTAGTTTGCCAGGAATATCATCATGATTTCATAAAAAATATTTTAAGGCAGAAATAAATGAAGCAGGTGTAAGAAGCCTCTAACACATTACTCAATAGTTTGCACTCTCTCAAGCTGGTCATACACTAAAGTGTCTTTACTGCACCATCCAGTATCAGGTAACCTTCCTTTTATCTCATCAGACTCTCATGCCATGTTTCTAGTGTCAAAAGAGCAATGTATATCTTACTCCATTACCTGTGCTTCCCTCTGATTGTAAATATTCCCTACGGTTAACCAGTGCTAGCGATAGCATTATACTCAGGACTTTGGGCTATGAGCTTTTTACTCTACAATCTTAATTTTATACTTAATGAGGAATAAGTCACAGTAGTGTGGCTGGAACAATGCACCAATAACCCACACTTACAGAGAAAACTTTAGGTGATTTTTTTTGTCTAAGTGTGGGGATATTTGTGAATTTATGCATAATATTTGAACTAAGGCATTATCCAGTGTATGTGTGCAGTGTCATGAATAATTAATATAGTTAACCTGCCAAGTAAGTTTATAAGGTATCTATTATTTTTTTAAGACAGTAAATGAACACACATGTATTAAAATTATTACCTGTGGTAAATGCTAAGTCTGATGATAAATTAGAAGAAATGCTTCTTCCCTTGACTTAGGCTTTTTTTCATGATAAATAATTATATACAATTTTGCCATTACAAGTCTAGGACTTTTTAAATACATTTGTTTTATGTACTAATTTTAAGAGAAAATCTTTTTATTTTTAACACACCAACTGCCTCTCATCAAGGCCTGATGACCTGAAAAAAAAGTAGAAACACTCACTCCATTATTGTCTTGCTAGAGATGTGCCGATACCAGAGCTCAGACGCCCCTCCAAGTTGCAGTGTCCCCATTCCTCCTTGAAGAGTGCAGGCACTGTACTTCCCACCTCCAGGACTCAAACCAGTTTCCTTGAATCCCTTCATAAATGTTACCTTGTTCACACTCCAACAGCACATCATTTTTTTATTTTATCTATATAGCACTATCCTATTTCCACCCAACCTCAGTGAGAGATGGCCGGTGTGTTAAAAAACAAGCACTGTTATAATGGTAGTAGGTTATGATGATTTTACTTTATAATTGACTTGATATTTCAACTTTTATTTAATTATTCCTGTAGAGATTCACAGTGGCCAACAAATATTGTATCACTCTTAACCCTTTGACTGTCGCAGCCGTATATATACGTCTTACGAGGTACCGGTTTGACGTATATATACTCATAAATTCTAGCAGCTTCAAATCAAGCAGGAGAAAGCTGGTAGGCCCACATGTGAGAGAATGGGTCTGTGTGGTCAGTGTGCACCATATAAAAAAAATCCTGGAGTACGCAGTGCATAATGAGAAAAAAAAAACTCCGACCGTTTTTTTTTTAATTAAAATGCCGACTTTGTGGTCTATTTTCGTATAGTATTTATGGTTGTATTTTCGTTTTCTTGGTCTCATTTGATAGAATGGAAAACATATTATAGAAATAGAGGTGATTTTGATTGATTTTACTATAAAAAGAACCTAGAAATGGAGCTCAAAGTAGGGGAAATGTTTGATTTTTGCCAATGTTCAAAAGTAAACAAATGATGCCATTGTCCAATAAATGTCCAACTAGCCATTCTGATATGCAGTCATGAATTGGTTGATGTTATTTATACAATTATTACAGTATTGCAGTAGTCTGCATAATAGAAAGTCTTCTATTTTTTGTTTGAATAAAAATTCAAAATAGAAAGCAAGAGTAATATCAGAGGGGCCTGGAGACATGACTGATGAACAAAGAAAATATTTTAGAGCCAGGAATGTCTGCATTGTTCATTCTGGACCTTATTTTGAAATTGTCATATTTTTTAGTTTTCGTGAAATTGGCCAAATTGCAAATTTCTGACCACATTATTAGGTAGTTGAAATCGGTAAATGGGCAGTTTCTTGTACTCAATCGATAGAAAAAATGGAGTTCTAAAGAAATAGCTATGAGTTCGGGCGACTGGAACAACGGAATTAGCCGAAAATAGGGCTCAAAGTGGGCGAAATCGCTGATTTGTAAACAGCGCAGAGGTCGCTAACTTCGCGAGAGCATAATTCCGTCAGTTTTCCATCAAATTTCGTTTTTTTGGTGTCATTACAATCAGGAAAAGATTCTCTGTCATTTCATAAGAAAAAATAATTTTTTTTTTTTTTTAAATTTTGCGACACCAGGAGACACCTCAGGATTGGGGATTGCGACAGTCAAAGGGTTAATAGGTTTTTATTAAGTAATTATTCTGTCAAGTATGGGGAATGGATTACTACTAGAAATATAGATTGAGAATTTTTTTCTTCTTGAAAGCCTTCTTTTCTGTTGTCATTTCCTTTCCCAATTTCATAGGGTGGACCAAGTGCCTCAAACAAGACCTTAAACACCTCTTGTAGGAATATGTTCCTACTCAAATGGTGTCCTCTTTACTTGTAATGAAGTTTTTGCCCTCCATCTCTTGCAGGGAGATATTTGAAGAAAAAAAATTGAGTGATATAAGAGCCAGGAACTCATTAAAACAAGAGATCTGGGGATCTATGGAAATAGAACAAAGAGTAGAGCAATGTTTTAAAGAGAGAACAGTGTTTGAAGGACTCATAAGCTGTAAGTCAAGAAAGGGGAGTAGTTGACAGGGTTAAAGCGTAAGCATGTTGCTCGTGTTGTTTCATGATCATTCTTTATCAACCAAGTTATAATTGTAGAATTGAAAATAATGGATATTTACAGTCAATTACTGTGGAATTTATCATTGAGCAATAATGTTTAGCTGAAGCACCTTGGTTATTTCTTCTATACCTGGAGTTTACCTGGAGAGAGTTTCGGGGAGGGTCCTTGCAGCTTACTACTTTAAAAAGCTTCTCAAATGAATGTTCCCTTTCAAGAGTTCTTCAACTGTGAATGTTCCCTTTCAAGAGTTCTTCAACTGTGAATGTTCCCTTTCAAGAGTTCTTCAACTGTGAATGTTCCCTTTCAAGAGTTCTTCAACTGTGAATGTTCCTTTCAAGAGTTCTTCAACTGTGAATGCTCCCTTTCAAGAGTTCTTCAACTGTGAATGCTCCCTTTCAAGAGTTCTTCACTAGTGAATGTTCCTTTCAAGAGTTCTTCAATAGTGAATGTTCCTTTCAAGAGTTCTTCACTAATGAATGTTCACTTCAAGAGTTCTTCACTAGTGAATGTTCCCTTCAAGAGTTCTTCACTAGTGAATGTTCCCTTCAAGAGTTCTTCACTAGTGAATGTTCCCTTCAAGAGTTCTTCACTAGTGAATGTTCCTTCAAGAGTTCTTCACTAGTGAATGTTCCCTTCAAGAGTTCTTCACTAGTGAATGTTCCCTTCAAGAGTTCTTCACTAGTGAATGTTCTTTTCAAGAGTTCTTCATTAGTAAATGTTCCCTTCAAGAGTTCTTCACTAGTGAATGTTCTTTTCAAGAGTTCAATAGTGAATGTTCTCTTCAAGAATTTTTCACTAGTGAATGTTTCCTTCAAGAGTTCTTCACTAGTGAATGTTCCCTTCAAGAGTTCTTCATTAGTAAATGTTCCCTTCAAGAGTTTTTCACTAGTGAATGTTTCCTTCAAGAGTTCTTCACTAGTGAATGTTCCCTTCAAGAGTTCTTCATTAGTAAATGTTCCCTTCAAGAGTTTTTCACTAGTGAATGTTCCCTTCAAGAGTTCTACACTAGTGAAAACCTCTTCAAGGGGAGGGCTCATTGTAGTAGTGGTGAAGAGGCTCTTGGTCTGAGGAATTGGACCTCTTGGTCTTCTTCCCCCAACCAAACCTAATTACCCCCCTATCCTCCCTACCCCATCCTCCCCATACCCACCTTTTTTCCCCTTTCTTCCCTTCTCCCCACCCTCCCCTTGTTTCCCATCCTGCTTGTAGTCTCTGGGGTCCTCCCCTCTAGCATTACAGTTCCTAGGTTGGGGATGGTGTGCCGGGGGTTCGTCCCACTCCGTGAGGTCCCTCAGGGGTGGTGTGGTTTGCCATGGAATCTGAATTGTCTGAAGATGCCCTGCTCCCTTCCTGGATTTCTGGGAAATGGGCAGGGTGCCCTTTGGGTAATGGGTGTATCTCCGGAAGCTGCCTGTCAGTTCTGAGAGGTGGCAGCCGAAGGAGGTATGCTTTGTGGTGGGTTTCCAACTGCCCTTTCTTTTGTCCGCTGAGGTCCCTCAGTAGATGTGAGGCTGCTATCCCAAAGCGCTGGTTTTCTGGGATGAAGAGTAGGGTATGGCACGGGTTCCATGCTGCATCTTCACTACCTGTGGGCTCGAGGCCCTCTCGGATGATGGGAGGAGCTTTTGGCCCCTCCATGCCTCCTAGCGACTGTCCCTCCACTGTCCCTCCGCTGTCCTTTTTTTTTTTTTTCTTTCCTTCTTTCTTTTTTTCTTCTTAAAATAACAAGAAAGGAGATATCACAGAAGAAGGTCCTTTACTATGGAGTCCTCACCCAGTGAAGCCCTTCCTCCTCCCAGACCCCTTTCTGATCCCAAACCTTGTTCTGAGCCAGCTTCGTTTTTGGTCCATTCTCTCGACTCTTCTCATACCCCTATACCTTCTGCCGGTGACGCTTCGTCACCTGCTTCAGGTGCTGTGGCATCACCCATTTCTGTTTATGCTGCTACTTCTAGCACGCCTTTCACAATGTGTCCGGCTTCCCCGAATATAGTACTACTTCTAAACGTCCAAGGCAACTTACTGATGACAGGTCATTGATGATCGCTCAGAAACGACCTGCGTGACACTCACTACCTCAGTGTACCAGGCTAACGAGTACGCAATGGACAAAATTCTTTTCTTTACAAACGACGTCTCAAACTGATTATCTTTGTGATCATGGAATTGATAAAACACTTTTACGGTATGCTGGCCAAAATATATCCTTCCATGCTCTTCGAAGCGGTGCGTGTGTCATAACAATACAGAATTCAGAGCAAGTTCATGCTCTCTCCTGCATCACTTCCATAGATAACATACCAGTCACCGTTCGTAAGCACACTACTATTAATTCTTGCAGTGATACTGTGGTCATACTGAGTACCATTGTACAGAGTGATTTTTTGTCTTGTGACAATGATATTTTAGAATAGTTAGCCCTTCAAAACCTCCCTATTCTTAAGGTAGATACATACATCCTGCCCGCTCTTCGGTGGAGGCGCTTTCCTAGTAACATCACTCATTTAACCTTCAACTGCCGTGAACTTCCGACCTTTGTCTATATTGCAGGCCATCGCCTAGAGGTCCATCAAGTAGTTCCCACTCCCCATCAGTGTCGTAATTGCTGGCATTTTGGGCACCCCACTAAACACTGCAGATCTGCGGTGGAATGCCCGGTCTGTGGTGCAGAAGATCATTCCAACACATCTTGTAGTTTTTACCCCTCTTGTCTCAATTGCAAGGAACCTCATCCTTCCTTTACACGCCATTGCCAGGTCTATTGTAATGAACGAAAGATCCTTTATCTTAAGGAACGTGAGAGCCTTACACTATGGCTGTCTCTCAGCTCCACCTTCAAGGAAAACTTCCTTGCATCCCATATGCTTGAGTAGCCCAAAGACCTCCAACCTCGATGGTCCTCCTGCCTCCCAATCCCTCTGTGTCCATGTCTTTCGGGGTTACCCCAGTTTCTAATTCTTTTGCAGTTTTATCCTCAGACACTCCTACCTCCACACCACTTCCTACTTCTACTTCTTCATCTCGCTCGCTTGCTTCTCTGTCTACAAGACCTTGCAGACCTACACTTGCTTCGTGTCCATCACCTGTACAGAATGTCTTTTGCCTCGGAGCCAAGTTCTCACCCCCTTTCCAGCTTTCACATGAAGGTGGATGTTCACCCCCCCCTCGTGTAGTCCCCTCTTCCCAAGCCCCCCTTCCTACCCATCTTCCACCATAGTTACCCTCCAACCTCCTTCCTCTCCTGTTACACTGCAGGACTCTTCTACCCCAGCCAATGCATCTCTCCAGGTTCATACTCCCTTCCCCCCCTCAGACCTCTTTGGTTGCTGCCATAGTTACTCCGACCTTTACTTGCAATGCCTCTCCTGTTTTTGACATTATGGCATCGTTGACTTCCTTAGCAACTGAGACACTAGCTATATTGCGGAGATGACACCCCCCAATGGACACCAACGTGCCTCCTATTTCATGACTCACACAACAGTATACATATTCCTCCGCAACATTATAATTCTTCCTTGCTTACATGTTTACCATTGCCCCGACATGTTGACTTTACTGATTCTAAAAACCCATAGGTTTTATTGTTTCTTATTGTTGCCATTTTTATTTCTGTACATAATGTCTTTTTTTACAATGGAATATTCGTGACCTTAGGGGCAATCGAGGAGAACTCCAAGTGTTGCTCTCCCAGCTCTCCCCAGTATGTGTTGGGTTGCAAGAGCCCAAAATTTGTTCTGCTGTCATTCGCCCTGTTTTGGGCTATGTGCTGTTACGTTCTTCCGATCCTTTACCCGACGAATCATTTAATGAAAGCGCACTTTTTGTGCGCGTTGATATACTGTATCAACAAGTTTTTGTTCATTCCCTGCTGCATTATACTGCAGCTTGTATTTATTTACACAGATGGTTTACAGTTTGCTCTCTTTATCTTTCTCCCTCCCGTGCATTCTGTATCTCTGATATTGCGTTTTTAATTTCTTCTCTACCGCCGCCCATCTTGTTGGGTGATTTTAATGCTCACCATCACTTGTGGGGAGGGTTCCACTGAGACTCTCGTGGTGATCAGTTGGAGACTCTTCTCACTTCTCATCCTCTTCATGTTTTAAATACGGGTGCTCCTATCCATTTTGACTCTTGCACTCAGTCTCTCGCCTACATTGATCTTTCTATTTGTTCCTCACCCATTGCACTTGATTTTGCATGGTCTCTTCTTTCAGATTTACATTATAGTGATAACTTTCCTATCCTTCTTACTTCTACTACATATACCTGACTGTCTCATAGCCCTCGTTGGCAATTTGCCAATGAGGGCTACAAGAGGACCCCCTTTTGTCCTCTATTGATGAACTGGCACAGCAATTTTCGACCTTAGTCCTAACTGCGGCGATGCATTCTATCCCCCAAACCTCAGGTAGGCATTCTCAGGCATGTGTACCATGGTGGTCTCCTACATGCGCCCGTGCAGTGCGTTTAACCCTTTCAGGATCGGTGTCATACTAGTACGGCTTGCACACCAGGGTTGGTGCCATACTAGTATGCATAAATTCTAGTGCCTTCAAATCTACTGAGAGAAAGCTGGTAGGCCTACATATGAAAGAATGGGTCTATGTGGTCAGTGTGCACAGTATAAAAAAAATCCTGCAGCACACAGTGCATAATGAGAAAAAAAAACTCAGACCGTGTTTTTCGTTTAAAACACCAGCTTTGAAGTGTATTTTTGTATGGTATTTATGGTTAAACTCTCATTTTCTTGGTCTCATTTAATAGAATGGAAGACATATTACAGAAATTGAGATGATTTTGATTGGTTTCACAATGAAAAGTACCTTGAAATTGAGCTCAAAGTAGCAGAAATGTTTGATTTTTGCCAATGTTCAAAAGTAAACAAATCATGCCACGTGTTCAATACACATCAACTGGTGGTCTAATATTCTTTCACAAGAGTGCTGATATTATTTATACCATTTTTACACTAATGTAGTAGTCTGCATAACAGTAAATCTTCTATTTTTTGTGAGAAAAATTCAAAGTGGAAAGCAAAAAAAATGTAAGAGGGGCGTGAGACGTAACTAATGAACAGAGAAAATGTTATTTAAGTGCCAGGAATATCTCTCTTGTTTATTCTGGATCCTCCTTGATGTTGGTGAGGGGCTCTTGATTTAGGGAATTGGATCTGTGCTCCAGTTCCCCGAATTAAGCCTGAATGCCTTCCACATCCCCCCCCCCAGGCGCTGTATAATCCTCCGGGTTTAGCGCTTCCCCTTGATTATAATAATAATATTCTGGATCCTGTTTTAAAATTGGCATCTTTGGCATTTTATTGAATAATTGAAATCAGTAAATGGGTGGTTTTTTGTACTCATTCGATAGAGCAAATGGAGTTCTAGTGACTTTTGTTGACTGGTACATTGGAATTGGCCGAAAATAGATCTCAAAATTGGTGAAAGCGCCAATGTGTGAACATCATCGAGACTGCTAACTTCGTGAGAGCATATGTCCGTAAGTTTTCCATCAAATTTCATACTTTTGGTGTCATTATGATTGGGAAAAGATTATCATTTCATAAGAAAAAATAATTCTTATTTTTTCAAAAGATTTGCGACCCGGAGAACAAGTTTAGGAGGGGCCTCTCGACCCTGAGAGGGTTAAAATGTGCTGCGTGGGGCTGTTATCGATATAATCGTACCACAGAATGTCTGTTGGATTTTAGCGGACAAGGGCAGTTGCTTGCCGCATCATCCACAATGCTAAATGCCCTTGTTGGCGGGACTACGTGCCTACCATTACCCCATCTTTCCCTATGTGCACGATTTGGAAAAAGGTGTGGAAATTGTGTGGTATGTACACTCCGGACCCAGATCCCATTTTGCGAGTTACTGGAGTTGATGTCGCAGAACCTCTAGATGTTGCCACAGAAATCGGGAATTATCTTGTCCGTATCTCCCGAGAGCTTCACCTCAGTCCCTCATTTCTTGCATCTAAGCCTACCAAAGAGCAATTGCCCTTAGATTTCTCCTGTGATGGATTGGAGCCATGTAACGTATCTTTTAGTCTCCTAGAATTGGAGTCCACACTTTCCATTTGCCAGCCGTTGGCAAGCCTCTCCCACAACTCTGTCTAAGTTAGATTCCATTCATCTCCAAGGTCTCCATCTGTGCCTTGGTGCCTTTCGTTCATTCCCTGTTGAAAACCTCTATGCAGAGGCGAATGTTCCCTCCCAGGCTGATCGTCGTAATGCTCATTTTCTTTGTCATTTTGTCCGCGCTTGTGATCTCCATGTTCTTTCCACATATCGGTTACTCTCAGACATTAGTAGGAACCCACTGTTGGATGCCCCTGCCTACTCCAACCGTTTTCTCTTCGTATTCACTCACTCCGATCGTCTCTTCAGTTGCCCCCCTCATACATTCATTTAGTGTCTGCCTTTTCCCTTCCCCCTTGAGAAGTTCCAACAGTTCATGTGTGTGCCCTCCCCCCACTACCATGTGCCAAAGCTTTCTTACCTACACCAGTCACATGCTCATGCCATTGCTGTGTATACAGATGGTTCTAAATCTGCTGATGGTGTTGGGTTCGTGGCAGGTTTCCCTGATGACGTCCGAGGCCACTTGTTGGACTTGGCTAGTGTTTTTACTGCAGAGTTGTATGCCATCCTTATAGCGCTTCTTTGTATTACATATACGTATGTCTTCTTCGACGTTTGTGATCATTTCAGATTCTTTCAGTGCTTTAAAAGCCATTAAACACTTTAATTCCCCTCATCCATTAGTCCTCCCATATTCAACAATGGTTGCACCATGTGGCTAGCAAGAATAAAGATGTCATTTTCTGTTGGGTCCCTGGTCACATTGGTGTGCAGGGCAATTAGCAGGTAGATGCTGCTGTGCGGTCAGCGGTGCATGATCTCCCGATTTCTTATAGGGGTATTCCATACGGGGACTATTTTCCAGTCATCTCTGCCCATCTCCGCTGCCATTGGCAACAATGGTAGTTAGGCATATGCCATAACAAATTGCACTCTATTAAACTGCTTTTAGGTTTGTGGCCATCTTCCTACCACCGTTGCCGTTCTCGGGATACTGCGCTTTCCTGGCTCCCCATTGGCCATACACGCCTTACCCATGGGTATCTCATAGATAGATGCCCTGTTCCTCTCTGTGAGGCTTGTCAGGTCCCAATTTCAGTTCTTCACTTCCTTGTCGATTGCCCGATTTACCAATGACGCCGCCACCCTGCCACTCTTACTTTATCTTCTCTACCTGCAGACGACCCCACCTTTGACTCCCAAGCACTCATTTACTTTTTGTCAGCAACTGCCTTATTATACGAACTTTGACACATCGCTCTTAGCGTCCCTTCCATCCCTTTTCTTCCCTCACCTCTGATCCCCTCTCCACTTAGCTTATTATAACCTCTGCATTACATACTGCCCTCCAATGCTGTATGACCCTTGTTGGTTTAGCACTTACTCTGATTATAATAATTCACTAGTGAATGTTCCCCTCAAGAGTTCTTCAAGAGTGAATGTTGCCTTCTAGAGTTCTTCACTAGTGCATTTTCCCTTCAAGAGTGAATGTTCCCTTCAAGAATTCTTCACTAGTGAAGGCTATTTTCAGGAATTCTTCTGTAGTGACTGCTCCTTCAAGAGAAGAGTGCCTTGATGTTGGTGAAGAGTTCTTGATTCAAGGAATTTGAGCTACCCCTCTCCTTGGAGCAAACCTGATTATTTCCAATTCTCCTGGCACTTCATGACCCAGATGGGTCATGAAGTGCTTCCCTATAATTGTAATAATAATAATAATTTGCAAATGATTCTTTTGGTTCATAACAATAAATTCATAATTTGTTTTCCTTAAGATTTGTAGTTGTATTTTAAAAGTAATTAAAAAATGTTAAACATAACTTTCTTGCATTGCTCAATAATTACAAGATCTGTGAAGGTACTAACCAGTAATAAAAATTGGGATATACTTACTGTATGTGGATGCAATGATAACTGGTGGAATATATTTATGTACAGGGGGGCCCCACTTAGCAGGTTAGGCTCTGGGCTACTGCTGTAATTTAGTGATAGTGGCTGTAAAGTGAAACATGGCCTTTTTTTTTTTCACTTTCAAATTCATATATGTAAAAGCCTGATAACATATTTACACTATCATATATTAAGTGAGCAATAGAGCTAGACCTAAAAAATGTATGTACGGTACACACATTACTTAAAATATTTTCATCCTCAGCTTATAGTGAGTGGTGAATATTGTAGGAAGTCTGAATAAACGAAGAATGATTATATGTAATTGAAAACCTCTGCATTAGTGAAATGCTGTAAAGTGAAGCTATGTAAAGTGGGGTCCACCTGTATTTTATTTGCTGGATTAGCATTTTATTGCAGTTATAGTCATTATATTTTTTAAAGTCAAATAGGGTAGAAGGTAGACTTGCACTGTATATATCCTAGTAAACCACAGAACAGGTGGGGTTTGAACCATGGCAAGTGAGATGTAAAACTCCTTGCCAGTGGTTTGTGTGCAGTCGTGTTATATCTTAATCTCTGCAAGGATAAATATCTGTTACAGACACCTTTTTACCCTAACACAAGACTGTTATGAGCTTCTATATTACATTTTGTTGATATAGTATTACATTCTTTTCTGATTATGTTTAGAGGCTGTTTAAGAATTATTTTAATCTTTAAAATATAGTGTACTTAAGTCAAGTACTTAATTGTGTGCTAGAAGTGCAGCTTGTGCGCTACTGTTAGCTCAACCATATGTTAAGTACTTAATGTGTGCTGTAAGTGCAGCTTGTATACTACTGTTAGCTCAACCATATGTTAAGTACTTAATGTGTGCTTTAAGTGCAGCTTGTGCTACTGTTAGCTCAACCATATGTTAAGTACTTAATGTGTGCTGTAAGTGCAGCTTGTGTGCTACTGTTAGCTCAACCATATGTTAAGTACTTAATGTGTGCTTTAAGTGCAGCTTGTGTGCTACTGTTAGCTCAACCATATGTTAAGTACTTAATGTGTGCTGTAAGTGCAGCTTGTGTACTACTGTTAGCTCAACCATTTGTTAAGTACTTAATGTGTGCTGTAAGTGCAGCTTGTGTGCTACTGTTAGCTCAACCATATGTTAAGTACTTAATGTGTGCTGTAAGTGCAGCTTATATACTACTGTTAGCTCAACCATATGTTAAGTACTTAATGTGTGCTGTAAGTGAAGCTTGTGTGCTACTGTTAGCTCAACCATATGTTAAGTACTTAATGTGTGCTGTAAGTGCAGCTTGTGTGCTACCATGAGCTCAGTCTTCTGCACTGAGATGACTCAAGAGGGGAATTATTAATATCTTGTTCACAATACATTGCCATGCATCTTGCATATCTCACTTGTTTGTACTGTGTTAAAAAAATGTCATTTTTATTTTTTATATTTTTTTATTAATAAAGTAAGGAAGAAAACACTTTAATATAGAAAGAAGTAATAGAACAAAGGAGGAAAAACTAAAGTAAGGAAGTAATAAGGGAAGGAAGTACCAAAGTGTTTTTGCACAGATCACTCACACAGAATTACCATCTTTGTTAAAAATAAAATATGCTGACATTTTTAAAATTGTAACTTTGGTATTCCTGTAAAGTGACAAACTAGTACATCAGATATAACACGTATTCTTGCTATCACAATGATATTCACTTACCTTTCTACTTTCATACCATTATAATGTAGTTCTTAACAGGGGTAGTGCCAGGTTTGTATAGGAGTGGCTTAGGGGTGGCAGTCTGGTTGGCAAAGGAAGCTAGGGGCTTGACTTGATTCAGAATTGTTATTGTTTTATTATTATTATTATTATTATTATTATTTGAGAGCTTCAGCCTCTCCTGCCTCCTTGGCATTGCCCCTGGTTCTTATTTATATTGATATCATCCAAAATAAATTTGTATATGTATCTCTGTATTACCAGTATCAGGCCAAAGCTCCAGTTTGTACTGTAGTTTCTGCAGTTAGTTTGATTGCTATAGTAAGCTTTCTATGCCTATCCTTGGTGAGTAGTCAAAAGATTACAAAGGCACATAAATGGGTATAGGAACTAGGCCCAAGCAGTATGCTAGCTTAGCAGGTTAAAGTAGTAAAGAACTATTCACAGATTTGTTGAAAATAGTTTATTACTACTGAAGTCACCACAGGCCTTCAGTACTCCTGTCAAAATCATGCCATTTTAAAAATATGTTGTCCTAGGGTAAAAAAAAAAAAATTATTTTCTCTCAATTTCTATGGTTTCCAGTGTAATCAAACTAATAGTTGTTAGTATAATAACCTTTTTTTGTTCAGAGGATAAAATGTTCTAGAGATGTAAGGCAATAATGTTGTTACTAGTGTGTATGCATATTATATATGTACACAAATATTCACATCAAATGGTCTCAAGGTACCTAAATGTTGTTAAAATAAGATGAGTGTAGTCACTGTTTGCACTTCCCGGGGTTACACAAATTATATCCGTGTTGCACATTTTATACATGCATTGCAAAGGCGAGGACAACCTTAATAGCGGCACCATCCATGTTTATTACTGTAGCTTAGGTTAATTGTACTAATGGTATACTTGAGCGATTGTTCTGTGTTGGGATCTGACTGCTGCCCTCATCACTCCCTCCCATACTCATCACCCCTAATTTCCATCTCCTTACCTTCCTTGCTCTCTCCCTCCCCTTCCCCTTTCCTCCTCTGCCTCCCTCCTCCTTTCCTTTCTTTTGTATCTTCCCTCTTATTCTTTTTTTTTTCTTCTCTCTCATTCTTTTTCCTGTTCTCTCCTTCACCTCATCTTATGCTTCCTCCTCCTCCTCTTCCTCCTCCTCCCTCCCTCTTTCTTCTTCCTCCTCCCTCTCTCTACTCTTCTCTCCTCTTCTTCCCTCACATCTTCCCCTTCCTTCTCCCACCTCACTTTCTGCCTTTAATGTTTGTTGTGATGTCAGTTAATGGTAACTGATAAATGGGGACTCCTCAAAATCAAGGATTAAATATGTGAATAAAAATAATTATTATTATTGTAATAATATTTTGGTATATTTTTGGCAGAATTTTATACCAAAATTTCTTCACATAGATGAACAACAAAAAATATCTGCACAATACACTGTTTTTAAATATGAATTTCCTCCTCATAATGTGTGGCAGTGTATATGATCCCAGCTGAGCTCCTGCAACTGTTATAATATGTGTGCACAAACACACATGTACCTCTGACCTTCATTTGCCTTTTACATGTGGTGCACACACATGCCTTTCACACGTAAACATATATGCCTTTATGACTCATGGAATCGTAATAACATGATTGCAAACAAACCATGGTACAGGTAGGGTTAGAACCCATGGCGAGGAGCCTGGAGTTCTACGACTCACTCGGTGTGGGTTCTAACCCTACCCATTCTGTGGTTTGGATTTTATACATGCCTTTTTCATACACATACAGTTTTTAATATATATATATATATACAGATTCATGCATGCACTTCCACTTATACAGGCACATGTACAAATTGCAGTGGTTTATGAAAATTAACTCAAATCAAGAGTTGAAGTTTTCTTGAAAAAAATTTTACCCTGCACTTGTTGCTAGTTCACATCACTTCTGAATACACAGCTGAGACTTAATTTGATTATTACTGTGAGCATCTAATGTAGTGATACCAAAATAAATGAAGGCCATTTTAAATCTCCCTGACAAGAGTGACCAAAATTATACTAGTAAGATTCTGAAATGTACAAGTTCCACTGTGATAAATGGTTGATTTTGTCCTCATTGGTGCAGAGTTAGTATATAGTGCTTTTGATTTTTCATGTTGACACTACCATTAGGTGTGAAGAAGACAGATCACTGTTGAGTTGCTGTTAGTATGCTTCTGATTTTATAGTTTAGGTTTTCATATTTACTGTACCACTTTATATAGTGCTTGTAAGCTGCATTTTCTTGTTTTTCATTTTAGAAATATTTTTTTCTTGCAAGCAAAGAACAAATGTAGGAAGATCCATTACAAAAGTATTTTTCACCACCATAGATTATCACTTTCAACAATTCAGGATTTTTGTTGCATAAATTACTGGTGTGTTATAAGTTTTGAATACAAGTTCTGTTTGAGGGGATCAGTTTTTATAAAAAGCTGTGTAACAGAATGTGTTGTGTTCTTCAGTGGAGATGCCAGTAAAGGGTTCTTGATTTAAGGAATTAGAGCTACTCTCCTTCAATCAAATCTGATTACCTCCCATTTCCCAAGTGCTCTATGACTCCTATGGGTTTAGCCTTAATATGATGATAATACAGTGGTACCTTGACTTATGAGTTTAATTCATTCTGTGACTGAGCTCGTAACTCAATTTGCTCGCATGTCAAATCAATTTTTCTCATTGAAATTAATTGAAATGCCGTTAATCCGCTCCAGCCTCCAGAAAACACCCCAGGGGCAGGAGAAAATACTTCAGTATAAACCTAATATCAACTCTGTGGCTTATTTGTCTATCAGAATTGATCTAATATGATATAATAAACACTATAAGTAACACAGAAACATGATATATGTATACTCTAGAATTAATAAAATAGTCCATAATATGGCGAATGTCCAGGACCAGTCCGAGTATATAAAATCATAACAAAAACAGGCACAATACCATGCCTTTTTGTTAGTGTGACTTTGTAAATGGTCCAAGTCGGACCAAAACATCGTTGTTAGCTCCTCTCTTCTGTGTGTGGGTTATTTGTGCATATAAAATCATTACTGCTCCTTCCTATAATGTGTTCTTTGGTCCTTGGTAAGAGAAAATGGAGTTTTTGAGAGGCTAACTGCACTAGATAACACAACTGATTCCACAACTGGCATAGGCTCCTGAGGGTTAACCTCAAACCCTTCAAAATCCCTTGTACACATTGTGGCCACAGTTTCCTCCAAGCAGAGTTCAAAGTCCTGCAAGTCACTCCCTCCCAAGCCTTACCTATAAGGTTTATGCAACTGGATGTCTGAGGTTACTTCAAAGCACTCTTGAAACACTGTTTTTGTGTAGAGTTTTTTGAAGTTTGAAATGACCTGCTGGTCCATGGGCTGGAGGAGAGAAGTTGTATTAGAAGGCAAAAACTTAACTTTCATGAAGCTAAACTCCCCTGCAATTTGCTCTTGCAAGTCGTGAGGATGAGCAGGAGCGTTGTCCATTACCAGGAGGCACTTGAGTGACAATTTATTTTCCAGGAGGTAATTTTTCACAGTGGGGCCAAACACACCATAAAACTACTCCAGGAAAATTTCCCTAGTGACCCATGCCTTACTGTTTGATCTCCACATCACACACAAATTACCCTTGACCATATTGTTTTTCCTGAACACTCTGGGAGTTTCAGAGTGATAAACGAGTAAAGGTTTCACTTTGCAATCACCACTAGCATTACTGCATAACAAGTGTGAGCCTGTCTTTCATAGGCTTCTGTCCTGGGAGTGCTTTTCCCTCCTGAGTAATGTAGATCCTGTTTGGCATATTCTTGTAAACACTGGCACACTGGCTATACATGGAGTCTTGGAGTGGCTGGGCCTGCTCAGGCCGCATGGACATGTTCAGGATGAAAGCCTTTAAACGAGTTTTTCGCCGTTCGTAGAGCCAATTTTTTTTACGCCAAAGAGTGCCGTTAGTCGATTTTGGCATTAGTCGATGCCGCCGTTGGTTGAGAGTCTAATGTACCACCTTTCATTGTGCTATTTAGGCCAGGTTCTTGCCTAATGTCATTTTCAGTAAATACTTTTTTTCAGTAATTTTTTTTTTCGCTCGGAACTCAGATTTTGGCTCGCAACTGCTCATAACCCGGAAAGCTCATAAGTTGGGGGCACTCATAAGTCTAGGTACCACTGTAATAGTAAAACCTGTGACTGGTGTGCTCAAGAGGAATGCAACTTGTATCATACAGGTGATGGAGCTTAGTAGTACTGTGACAAATCAAATATGGTGCTCCAAGAAGTAACAGAATAATGTTAATGCACAAAAAAACTAGAAAGTAGTTTTTATGATATTTAAGAGTATTGGGCATACAAAATAATAGATACTGTATATGAAAATGATCAAAGAAATATAAATTATTCATTAATGTGAGGAAAAAGATTTACAGTGGACCCTCGACTAACGCTATTAATCCGTTCCTGAGAGCTCATCGTTAGTCAAAATTATCGTTAGTCAAGTTAATTTTCCCCATAAGAAATAATGGAAATCAAATTAATCCGTGTAGGACACCCCAAAGTATGAAAAAAAAATTGTTTTTACCACATGAAATATTAATTTTAATACACACAAACTGAAGAAGACATGCACAGTTATATGACACTTACCTTTATTGAAGATCTGGTGATGATTGATGGGATGGGAGGAGGGGAGAGTGTTAATGGTCTTAGTGTTTAGAAGGGGAATCCCCTTCCATTAGGACTTGAGGTGCCAAGTCCTTTTCCGGGGTTACTTCCCTTCCCTTTAAATCTCTCAAACAAACCTTTGCTGGCCTTAAATTCACTCGCATCACCACTAGTTGCTGGCATTTTTTTAATTAAATCGTCATGCAACTTCCTAGCCTTTTTTCACAAAATGATGCTTGAGAGATGCTATCTCCTGCTATCTGTTTTTCGTTTACCCCACACCAATAACAGTCCTCAAACATCTTCGAGTACTTGCGATCTCAGTTTCGAAACATAGTTGCACCTTTGGCAAGAACAGTTTCCCTTTGATTGCCGTTTCTTGGGCCACAATAGTAGCTATGGTTGTTGGGTTTTGTGTACAACCTGGCCAGCTCGGAGACACGCACTCCACTTTCATACTTAGCAATTATCTCTTTCTTCATATCCATAGTAATTCTCACCCTTTTTGCTGTAGGGTTGGCACTAGAAGCTTTCTTGGGGCCCATGGTGACTTATTTTGCAGGTGCAATCACTAAAAAGGCTGTGATAATATGAAATGTTCCGATTGTATGCTTGGAAGCGACCGCAGTGGCTGGCTGGCTTGTAAACACTGGCCAGAAGTGGACGCATCTCAGACGGAACGAATAGTGTTGGTCGAGCTTTTTAGTGCTAGTCGAGGCAAAAATTTTGCGTTAAAATGTATCGCTAGTCGGATTTATCGTTAATCGATGCCATCGTTGGTCGAGGGTCCACTGTAGTTGAAAACAAAGGTTAC